CAGGCAGGTGTGGGGGCATTTGGGGGCAAGGAGGCTGGCAGCGGGGGGGCAGTTGGGGGTGAGCAGGCTGGCAGACAGAGTGGTTAGGGGCAATCAGGCAGGCAGGCAGGCAGGTGAGCAGTTAGGAGCCAGCAGTGCCAGATTGCGAGAGGGATGTCTGCCCTGTAAACCGGCCTGATCCCTGTAAACCGGCAGTAGGACATCCTTTGAGGGATATTAGATTGGAGAGGGTGCAGGCCGGGCTGAGGAACACCCCCTCCCCCGTGCACGAATTTCATGCACTGGGCCATTAGTTTATTTAATAAGAATCATTGAATAAAGTGAGAGGCAATGAGTGTAAAAAATTTTGGGGAAATTTCTAAAGAACACAGAATGTAATAAATGTAATAAACGTGTCAAAGATTCACACTAATGAAAAGACATAAGCATATAATTAGTATTAAAATGTCCCCCCTATAGAAGTCACAAAAACATTGCCTTACAAATGGGTGAGTAAAAGCTGATGTCAAAATGGAATCTTATTCTCAAAGAACTCATATTGGAGAGAAATACTGTGATTATAGTGTAGAAAAGTCTTCAATCCAGATCCTATTTCCACTGGAACATATAATTCATACTGGGGAGAAATCATTAGAAGCCAATGAATGTGAGAGGGCCTACAAGTATAGCTTAGCTTTTATTCAACATAAAAGAAACTATGCAGGTAGAATGCTTATAAATTCTAAAAATTTGAAAAAACTTTAATTAGGAGTTCAAATTGACTGATTGGACACCATACAATGTAAATAGGGGAAAATCTTCAGGGAATTATGACCTCCACTGAGCATCAAAGAAATGATCAAAGGGAGAGAACTTATGTAGACATGGAATGTGGAAAAGCCCTCTTCCAGAAGTCAAACCTTTGAATACATTGGAGAATTCAGAAAGGGACCACATAAGTGTACTAAATATGATAATGCCTTTAGGAATAGAGGATGTCCACCGCACACAGAATGGCTCATGCTGTTGAATCATGGACAGTGGATTAATATGAGAAGGTTGCATAGAAGAAGACAGAACTCACTGTGCATCAGGGAATTTATGTCAGAGACAGGTAGTAATGAATTTGGGGAGTATGGAAGTTTTCAGCAGGAAGCCAGGACTCTACTTCACATCATAGATTATATAGGGAGAATTCCTTCAAATGTGGTAAAGCTTTTACTAAGAAATCATCTGAACTCTTGAGTCATAGAGTTCAGAATGGGGACAACCATTCTCTGATACAAAAAATGTAACAAATGTGGAAAAATTTTCAACTAGAAATCAAGATTTATAGCACACTAGAGAATTCAGACTGGGATAAACACCAAGAAAACAGTACATGCAGGAAGACCTTCATTTGGAGATCAGAACTCATTGACTCTCTACAAGGTCATATAGGAGAACAAAAAAACTATAAAAGCACTACTATGGAAAAACCTTCAGCAAGAAAACACAATTCATTATACAAAAGAAAACCCACACAGGGAAGAAGTCCTATGAAATAATAAATTTGGGAAATCATTCAGTAATATATAAAACTTCATAATTAACAATGCAGAGAAACAAACCCTGGGAATGCAACATGTGTGAGAAAGGAGAATCTGTATGCTTTGTATGTTACTCTGAGGAGACACCCTATTAATTTAAAAAATGCAGAAACACCTAGTCAAAACTTATATGCACCAGAGAGTATGTATAGGAAATAGTCTCTATGTCATATGAAGTGTGGTTGATCTTCAGATCATTTCCAGACATTAGATACCAGAGAATTCACACTAACAAAAAGAGTCAGTTTTAAATTTAAATTCTACCCCAAGGAAATAAAATTAAATCACTTAAACCAAGCTTTTCCTTTAAAAAATTACTGAGAAATAAACACCCGTGCATCTGTAGTGCAAGCATCTTCCTCCCCATGCCTATGCTTGCCTTTCAAAGGGGTCTTCCCAGTGAGTGTTGGAAAAGAAGCATTTTATATTCATCCTACATTATCCACTTGGAATTAATCTTCACTATGTACACAACTCTTTTTGTCACTGGTCCCACCCTGGAACTCCTGAAAACAATCCCTCAGGCATCAGAGGAGGGCAAATGCCATACTTGTTAGTTTATTCTCACACCACTCACACCACACAAGTGCATCTATTAGAGGTCATTTAAGGGAGTACAGATGGGAAAGGAAAAAAACTGTACTCTGAGTGTGACACCCCTCAGATCCCAGGGGACAAGATTCTAAGGAAAATGCCCTCACACAAGTAACTTTGTGGGGTGCACCTGGTACCTCTGCTCACCTCCCTGTCCCTGCAGGCTCATCCTTTCTCACAGGGATCTCACCCAAGGCTCCATCCGCCTGTGCCAAGCCCAGGTTGCTCAGTCTAGTACACAGATCCACAGATCGGCTTTTGTGGAAACTGTTCCTCCCCAACTCCAGCCCAGTATTTCACTCTGGGGCCTGCACATTCTCACACAGGGCCCAGTCCCTATGTTCTAGTGGTTGAAGAAGGAGTGGGAATATCACTCACAATGGCCAAGCCCAGGAAGTCATTGTGATCTCTCAACTTCAAACCAGAGAGTGTAAGTTGAGTCTCTCTCTAGAAATAGAAGCCTTGCCATGGCCATTTCCCACCATGGGTAGAAAGTCTAGTCTGCAGTGAGGAAATATGCCAACATGCACAGAAAAAAAGGGATAACATTGGCATGTGGGCAGGTCTTTCTGGAGGCCAGCCTCAAGATAGGTCCTGCTGGGCATAGCCTCCGTGGACCCCTTCTCTGATTCACTGCATGCCTGGACTCCTCCCAGTTCCCACTGTGAAGCAATGGAAAGAAAAGAAGGCTTCTCACTACTTGGGGGCTTCTGTGTCCTCACCCTTGGGTGGGGCTGCTACTGTGGAGGTTGCTTTGAGGCTCCGCTTCCGCTTCTGTACGTTCTGCTCCGGGTGGAACAAGATGACATAGGTTTTGGGTGCATAGAGCATGCCGAGGGACACCGATGCGCTCAGGCTCAGGGACACAGTCAGTGTGGTGGTTTGAATGTATATCTGAGACATGGAAAAAGGGACCAGGTGGGACTCAGCCCTGTTTTCTCTTACCCCCACCTCCACATAGCCGTGGAATGAGCACTTAGAAAAGGACAACTGCATAAGCAAAGGCCCTGTGGCATGAAGAAGGAATAGTCACAGTGTGGCTCCAGTGTAGGCAGGATGGAGGGTGAGTGACATGGCACTGAGTGGACCAGTGTCTGAGGGAAGACAGTTTTATTCACAGAAAGTGACACCTGGGGAAATGGTCCATATGGCTAAAAAGGTCTAGAAGATATTAATGAATGAATGGACATGTTTTCAAATGTACAAATGAATGAACAAACTGAGATTGAATAAAGGTAAAAGTGAGCAAACATATAGATGAATAAACAAATGTTCTATACAAATGAATAGATGAGTGAATAATGATCAAACAAATAGATCAATGGATCAGTAGATAGAAAGTATATGAAGTAATAATTGAATGAAAGATTAATCAATGGTTAGAAGTATGGATGAATGAATGGCTGAATGAACAAGCAGAGGGCAACTGGAAAGATAAGCAAATGAGCATGTATTTAAGTACAGGAATAAATCAACCAACCAAGCTGGGTTCATATGTGTAACCCAGCTCTTGGGACAATTGAGCCCTTCCTTCTGTGACAGAAGGTAGGAAACAAATGAGGTAGTGAAACCAATGAAAGACCCCAAATTACCTTTTCAGCTGACTGTGCAGTGCCAAAGAAGATAGGCACAAAAGCCAGCCAGATGATGCAGGTGGTGTACATGGTGAAGCCAATGGGCTTGGCCTCATTGAAGGTCTCAGGCACACCACGGGCCTTGATGGCATACACTGTGCATGTGACCATGAGTAGGAGGCTGTAACCCAGGCAGCCAATGAGAGATAGATCTGACATGTCGCACTTGAGCACCCCTCTGGCTTGCTCTGGGTCCACCGTCCGCTGCTCCTCATAGTCGATCACGCTGTGTGGGGGCTGGGCCCCTAGCCATGCCATCACTCCCACCACCTACAGGAGACAACATCATATCAGGGACACACTAAGACTGGCCACCTACTGAAGACTCTGGCAGGTTAGGGTCCCCTGGAGGCTCCTGACCTACTGGGAGGGGATGCTTGGGTCTGAGAGAACCACTATGGAGAGAAGAGGGCCTTCCAGGAGGGGAATACTCAGGCCTGTGACATGGTCCAGTAGAGAGAAGGGGCTTCAGTGGAGGTATGTGCTAACAATGTCAGGGCTGGTTGGGTAAGGGGCCCCTGGACATCCTCTTCCTATATTCCAGCCATTATCAATGTCATTTACTGATTTACTGATCCCTGCAAGATTCAGTAACTGCAGACAGAATTTTGATCCCGAATGTCTTCTCTATCTATAGAATGGGAATCATCATAATCTGTTTTAAGAACACGATGCCAGCTTGGAGGGGGAATGGTGTATGTACCACTGGTTAAGGGCTAGGCCCAGCAGAGATGTTCTCTCCTCACAACCATCCAGTAGGCAGTATCACCTTCAGTCTGTAAATGTGAAACACTAGCTTGTTTCTATATAACAGCATGGCAAACCTATTTCCTGAGGACCCCCTTTCTTCTCCAGATCCAGAGAACTGTTGAACAGGATGTATTGAAATAATGTGTGATTGCACAATGCAGCCTAAATTGAAGAGGCCCTTAATGGAGAATTGTAAGGATGTTAGGAGTTGATGCTGGGCAGCTGGGAGGTTATCAGAGTAAAACACCGGTCCTAACAATGAGGAAATGGAGCTTCAATTTCCTCAATGACAGGAGATATGACTTTGAGCTAAGGGCAGCTGGGGAGCAGGAAATAAAACACCTGCATAAAGTCAGGACCCTGAAAGGGCTGCCCATACGTTCATTCCCTGCACAAGTGTGTCTGATTTAGGGGGAGGGTATAGGGAGGTGAGGTAGGTCTGTGCACCTGGAGCAGGGCTGTGAGATCCTGGAGGAGGGGATGCTTTATAATAATTTGTACAACCAGAAGGAACATCTTTTTTGTGATTCTCCCAAAGGCAGCAGCTTCATGAACAAGAGACTAATAAAATGTCATGGCATCCACTGTTCAAAAGGCAGCATGGAGGCTTTTCTTAGAGCAAGACTCCAGGTGGGGGACAAACGTTTCCCATGAGTAACTAACACTCAAGGCCTGTGATACACAGGAGTAGCAAGCAAAATGTAGCTCACTGATTTTGCATCCCCTGTAATTGATAAAGAATTAGGATCCAACACATGTAACTAACTCCTACAAAATTACAGAAAATGACCAAGCATAGGAATAGGACACTGCAAAGGCCATTGTACTAGCAACGAAGTGAGGCAAATTGAAACAACAGTGAGATACCATTGGACATCCATCATTTTGGTATATAACCTAGTAAAACTGAAAGTGTGCCTCTTTGAAAGGGTCCAAGGTTTCTGGAAATGATGGCATAATGTGGGGATCCCCTGGGTGAGCTGGGGGCACTGATGTATTCTAAGCATCTCTGTCTTGTGTCATGGGGTTTTCAGGCAGAGAGGCAGTGAGATGCCTTTTCAGGATGAGCTGGGCACTGAGATTTTGGACCTCCCTGGTAGAGGAGGCTCACGCCCTGCATGTGCAGGAAGCGTCTTCCAGCTGTGAACTGCATGGACCGAGGCCTGTGGTTAGGATGAACATGATACATGCATGGCTGGGTAGGGAGAAGGGCTCACTTGGAATGGAGAGCATGCTGTCCACCTGGCCCTGAGAACTGGGTTAGCTCTACAGTGTCACACAATGTCATACACCTTTCTCTTAGTACCTTTTCTCTTAGTACCCTTTGCACAGAAAACATCCAGGGCTTTCCCAGCCACAGAATCATTTTCAAAGCTGTGGAAAGACCCAAAGGAACTCTGCTTTTGCTGCCCATACATCATGAAATATGGCCATTTATGGAACAAGATGCTCCACTCCACAGCTAGGTACATTACTGGGGCCCCGAGACCCTCACCAGGGACTGGGCAGCAGTAACTCCCTTTATGGAAACAGATTCTTTGCTTGTGGAAAATGTATCAGATATTTCTTTGCTTTATTTTTGTTATATGGGAACCCATTTTCCTTCCAGGACGAAGTGGAGGAATGGCTGCTCTTAACTGAGTTCTCCTCAAAGGAGAAGGGCAGGGCCCTCTCTCCCAAGGCTATATGTTTTTCCAAAATAGAAGAGTGACTCTCTGAGTAGAGGTCAGCGCCTCCCCATCTGGAGTCTGGGGACCAACCTGCACGGAGGTGAGGCCGAAGGTGATGACCAGCTGCGAGGTGGGGCTGATGAAGGGCGGGGGCGTGACAGACCGCTTCCCCTGTTCGAAGATACGGTAGATGCGGTTGGTCTTGGTGAACAGGGCAGAGTAGCTGAGGGTGGTGCCCAGGCCGAGGAAGAGCCTCCGAGCAGCGCAGACGGCCGCCCCAGGCTCGGCCACCATGAGGAAGGTGATGGCATAGATGAGGAAGATGCCGGTGAGCAGCACGTAGCTGAGCTCTCGGCCTGAGGCGCGGACGATGGGTGTGTTGTTGTGCCGTACGAAGGTGGCCACCACTGCGGTGGTGGCCGTGATGCCCAGCACCGCCAGGAGGAGCGGCGGGGCGGCCCAGGGAGAAGCCCAGGTGAGGCGCACCACCGGTGTGGGGCGGCAGCCGGTGTGGTTGCGCAGGGGCCGCATGTCCCCTGGGCAGACCTCGCAGGTGAACTCATCCACCTGGAAATGGTACCCGTCGCAGGCCTCGCAGTGCCAACAGCAGGACACGCCCTTCACCATCTTCTTCCGCTCCCCAGGCCTACAGGGGAGGCTGCACTGAGATGCCGGCACTTCCCATGGGTCTCCTGACCACTGCAGGGCGTCCATCTGCAACATGGGACACAGGGCCTTTGCCCTCCGCTGCCAGGAC